ATATCAATATATATCAGTTTAAAAAAAAACTAAAATACAGTAATTACACATTCCTATTATCATTTGTCTACAGAAATTCACGTGGTTTAGATAAAAATTGTAAGTTTAGACGCTAACAATTATAAGTATATATAAACATGTACAGTACACTAATATCTAAAATAATATTGCAACCAAAGAATAGAATAGTTCCCCAGTTAGAGACAATGGTAACATACAGAAATTATGAAACAATTTAGATAAAACTTATAAACACAAATATAAACGATTACAATCATACATAAAAAACGGTGCAAGAGATTAATGCTATGGTAACATTGACAGGGCAGAATATAACAATTTTTCAGCTGAATACGATGCTTAACACGTAAAACTAGAAATTTTTATCTGGTAAATCTAGCGAAAATAGAGGCAATAGGTTATGTTTCCCGGTATGTATCGAATATTCATACCAGCCAGCCCTCCCCCTCGGTTTGACTGATTCCCGGCGAGGTCGGACGATGTGTGTAGTTCTCTCTACTTCTCCGGGTTCGTTCTTTTCTCTCCTTTTTCCGGGCGAAGCGTAAAAGAGGGGGCCCGCACCCTGACCCACAAGTGGGCCCCGGTACCTCCCCAGTTAGTCAGTCAGTCAGTCAAACAAGCCAAGCAGGCGATGCGGGCTCGCATAATACCGTGGCTGCCGAACTCTCGCGGTGAAGTAGTTTGACACGCACGTGCTCGAACCTGTCGGACACATTTTGGATAAACCACACGGCGCGCCTTCCTTCTCCTCTCCTCTTCGTTCTTCTTGTTGTTACTGTTATTGTTGTTGTTGTTGTTGTTGTTGCTGTTGTTGTTCCTCCTCTTCGTCGGGCTGTTTCGTGGCCGCCGCTTAAAATTGATCGAGAGGGAACGGAGACAGTGAACCGGGAACGAACGTGGGAGGCTGCCGAAGATGATACTGCGAACAGCCCCCGGGGCCATCGTCCTTTTTCTCCTACTTACGGGATCCATTGCTCAAGACGACGATTCTTTGACTGGTAGCTTCCTGTCAGGTAAATAATCCTTATCCTCGTCGCTCGTCATTCCGTTAACAGAAGCGCTTAATTTTCTTTTCTTTTTTTTTTACATAAAAGACATCGTCTTTTTAACAGAGATTTTATCAATATACTGCATATACCTATTTTTATTGAATTAATTCATACATATAATCATTGTAGAAGAAGATACTTTTCCTCTTTTTGGAAAATTTTATATTAAAACTTTAATAGCTGTCTTTCGACCTTTTACTTCTGTAAAAATAATGTTAATCTGAAAATTTGTATATGCTTTTGATATACTTCCGTCACGTCATTGACTTATTTCACAAATGCAGTTCCTGCTGGAATGAAATTGTCCCGTAGTTTATCTGGCATAACAAATTCCAAACGAGTTTCAGTTCATTCTTAAAGATTATTTTTCATACGAATCGTTTCCAAAACCTTTGGCAACTCTGTCTGTAGGTAAAACCATAAAAGAACTGTTTCTTAAATTACTATTATATTTTTAAATTGATCGTTCCAATACTTTTTTTTCGATTCTTCTCAAATAACTCTGAGGAGGTGTTTGAAAACGCGTTCAAAGTTTTCAGCAGGGGCATATTTATTTGCTCCACGCGCAATGTGTTTCGTGACCTGTATATACATGTGTAATTACTTCGAGTTTATGCTAGTACCTTGTAACTTCGAGAATGTAATACCTATCTGTGCTATCGAAGAATCATATACTTGAAGTCGGCAAACCGGATTCTGCCCCTAAATTCGATTATTTTTTACGTCATTTTTTTACATAACAGCGTTTCGTTGTTGTCATTTTCATAAAGAATTTGCTGCGAAAATTATAATTAATTGCAAATAATTGTAGTTTGGAAGGGGAAAGCTAATTGAAATTTTTAGTCCAATTCTGAATTTTATGCATAACTTCAAAAGAATTTAAGACTATTGCGAAGTTATCTTCAAATTAATATAAAATAATTTCCAAAATTTTTAAATATTTTCGAAAACTTTAAAATAATTTATAAATATATTTAAATAATTAAAAGAAGAAAATTCGGATTTTGTATAAATACTCGT